CAGAAGCTGTATTGAAAGGGAGTGGGGGAATCAAGAGCTGCACAGGCATCCAGGGCTGTCCTCCCCCCATGAAACTGCCTTTCTGAACATCTGACGCTCGGTGAAACATTTGCTCTAGTATGAATTTCTGGCTAAAAGCTGTCTGTGGCAAGGAAGACAAAGCAGTGGCCAGAGAGGCGACTCATCAGGAGTGGGTCTCCTCTCCGGCCGCTGCTTTGACTTCCTTGCCAGAGGAAGGCTGCAGCCTTTCCCTCAGCTTGCCCGGGGGAGTCAGAGCCAGGATGCCTAACTCCTCCGCTCAAGCGATCTCCTGGAAGTGTTTGTAGCACGCTCAGTGCTGTGTTTTCCAGGCCTGGAAAGGTGGCCTCAACTCCCTGCTTTTACGAAAGATGCTACTCAGATGGTTCATCTCCCTTTTCTACGCAGGACCTCCAGGAGAAAGTCGAACCGGCAGCCCGGGACCACCAGGATCTCCAGGGCCACGAGGTCCGGCCGGTCACACAGGACCCCCGGGCTCACAGGGTCCTTCTGGCCCGCCGGGGTACTGCGATCCGTCCTCCTGCGCTGGTTACGGCATGGGAGGTGAGTAGTCGGGAGTCAGGGTCGCTGCTGTTTGCAGAGGCCGGGGTGGCATTTTCTAACAGCCAAAGTAAGATGGAGGCTACTGGTGAACCTTGCACTAAAAGGTGGCAGCTCCCCAAAAATATGCGTGGCCAGTATTTTGTGGGACTGCAGCACGAAGAGAAGGTGACCCCAGCATAGTGACCAAAGGAAGTCCACCATCTGATCCCAGCCTGTAAAACGGATCCCGTGTAGTGGGTTTTCGTCCTGTACGTGTTTGTGTAGTTGTATGAGCCTGCTCCATCTCAACAGTCTGTGTGTTGAACCCCCACCTCCTAACGTTCGTGACAGCAGAGTTTTTATTTGTAGTTTTTCAAACGTGTTGCTCAACTTCCCCTTCTGTGTGCCTCTGAATGGCATGAGAGCATGACCCTTACTAAACCCCTAGTAGTGTAACCTGACACAGGGATGCACGTGTCCGTCATTAACCAGTGAAGCAATCCGGAGAAAATGATTCTTTCTACATCTCCTCTGCATCCTACTTTCCCGTCTCGTTATAGCACGGAGAGGCCGTGGGAGGAGGTTAACACAATCACCAACAATTACGTCGCCCAACCTAAAATTGAAATTTATTAGTAAAGCAGTCGTTACTACAAATGTTACACATAAGGCGTATTTGTTTGATGTTTACGGTTTAATCTGCCCGTGGGCTGATTTGTATGTTTTACTTACCTGAATGTTTTTGTTGTCGTCTCTTCCTATCCTTTTCTCCTCACTTCCCCTCCCCGTTGTTCATTTCCTGTTTTAAGGCCCAATCCCTTACAATGGCTACCAATCCCGAAGGTGAAAGGCTCATTCTGGTTCAGGTCTCATTTGGCTGAAGGTCAGAGATGGATGCTGAACTGCTCTGTGCTTTCCATCAACGATATTGACTACCACTAATGAACTTACTAGCTGCTGTATATGCACTTAGCTTCCTTGCACTGCTAAAAATTATTGTCTGACCCATTTTTGCCTGTTAATCATGTATTCTAGACCATAATTGGAATAAGCTAAAGCAGGCAGATTGTGCAGTGTATAATAAGTACAGTATTACAACTGGACATTTGACAAATTGTGGTGGTGGTTTCCAACTAACTTGGCTGTCTGTTGGTGGGTTTCCAATTGCTCCAGCTTATTAATTTTGTTACATGTTTTCACTGTTCCTTTATGTGAATAAAAGATGTGTATTTAAAGATTTTATATATATACTCACACACATTATATATAAATATATCTATATATGAAATGTCAATTTCCTAATGAGTGCTTTAATTTTCTACTCCCCTTCTCCTGTGTTAACCGTATGAATACTCTTGGTGGTGGTGGGTTAAGGTGGATACGGTGAGCCAACTGATCAAGACATCCCAGTAGTGCAGTTGCCACATAACTCCTACCAAATCTATGACCCTGAGGACCTTTATGATGGTGAGCAACAGCCGTACGTAGTTCACGGGTCCTACCCCTTACCATCCCCATACTCCCAGTCCTCCTATCCATCACCTCATCTTGCTCAACCAGAGTTTACTCCTGTTCGAGAAGAGATGGAAGCCGTTGAACTGAGATCCCCAGGAATTAGTCGCTTCACAAGGAAGATAGCCAAAAGGAGCGTCAAGACTCCAGTACGCAAAAAGGCGAATGGAAAAAAAACCTCTCAGTGAACTGCTTAAAAAAGGGAAATATTTCATGTGCATCTGTGTTTGGCCTTTTGTCCAGGTGCCTAACCTGTCATGGAAGATGTTTACAGGCTCTTATATTAAAGGAGAAAAAAAATGTACATGACCAGCTGACACAACAAATAATGCTATTATCTTGCATGCCAGAAGCTTAGTATGTTAGTGGGTTGGTGCTAGATGATGATGAAAGATCACTTGTAGATCTTTCTCTGGAGTACTGTTCCACACACTATTCAAACTGTATCTAAAAAACTGCATCCAGCTAGTTGGTGTACGTGGAACCATTCAGAAAAGTTAATGTTTTGTTATCTGTGTTTTTCCAGTTGATTATGTTCTGTTAGTTTTGGATGAATTGCTTTACTAGCAGAGTAACCTGACTAAATTCACTGGAGAACAATGCATAATCAGGTTTCCTTGAACCCAGCTTATTACCGTTTTGCAAAAAAGTCTTATGTTAATGGAATATTTTTTTTTAACCCACGTTATATAAATACACAAGATTGTTCTGTGGGAACACACTGATAATTTATTGTGAACCTCTTTCATTTCTGTTTCATATGCAAATAAAAGTGGCAAGCTTTTATATGTTAATTCTGTATTTGATTGATTTTTAACTTGGAACAATTGTATCAATCTTTGGGGGACAGAATGTAAAGAGAAGAAAATATGTTTTCCTTTTTCAACGCTTCTCGGCAACAGTTTTATTTTAAAGAAGAGAGGCAGTTAGTATAAACAATATTTAGCCTTACTTTTAAAATTATACATAAACAAGTGGAGAGAATAAATATGAGATGAGGTGTTCATATCATCTATGGGCATATATTGACATGCCAAAGTCAAAAGCCCAGCAGGTATAGTCACAAAGGCAACTTGAATCAGCTGATGACGAAAGGAAGGAAAACCCCAACCCAACCGCTTGAGGGGCACAATGCAATTAATGATGTCAGAACAAACCAGGTAAATTATAAAGTGACTCAATAAACAGTTTTGACCAGCACTGTGGAGAACAAGCATCAAAGAAGGATTTAAAGTAGAAGGCCAAAACTGTTCATACATTGAAGTCATCGGTTTGGAACACTTTTAGTCCGGCCCTATAAAGACACAGAGAGAGGACAGCCTGTGGATCCCAGGGCTGTGCTCCTGCTCACCCCTGACTGGGTTTGGTCCGTCCGTGCTCCGTAAGGAAAGACCCATCAGCTTTAGCTTCTGGCCACTGCCAGCCGCTCTCTTAGCTCACCGGGAAGAATACAAACAGGTACCTTTGGTGTCTAACCCCAAATTATCTGCCCTAGAATTCAACCTCGTTAGTAACATAAACCATTTGTACATGTGACTGACACCCACAGCTGTGTATATCGCAGGGCAAGTTCTGGCTCTGTGGCTGCATACCTTCCTCTGCTGTGTTCCTGTTTTCCCATTATTGCTCTCACCCCTAGCTCCCACCACTTTATTGGAGAAAAGTGAGAAAAGTTGATACAAATGTGAGTTGAGTAGTCACTTCCTTACCTAGACTTGCATTTAAAGTAGAAGGTAAAAAAAAAAGTCTAACATAACTTAGGGACTTTATTGTTATGCAGCTTAACCCCAGTTTACAGAATACTGAGGCACCGAATGAGCACGGCTGTGCGTGCACATGTGTAGGTGGCACAGCCTCGCACACACAGCTGACATTCAGAGAGATATTACTAAAATTAAGCACAGGATATGGCTGCATCACGATTAATTTCCCTGGTTGCGCTTGGCTGTGAACACCCAACTCTCTGCCCCCCTCCCCAGCTGGCACTCTCCCACCTACGTGTTGTACTGACACCTTCTAGAGTCCCGTCCCGTCCCCCCTGGCTGTGACGTGCCGACTTGTAGGTCCTGTGGAAGCAACTCTGAGAAGGTCACTGATGGAAAATCAGCATTCAAGCAATTCCGCCTGTGTTGTCTCAGAAAGACTTTGACCCTTATGTTACAGTTCATAATTAATTTGCACCCCAGACTGGTCATCAAGCAATGCTATATCAAATCTCAAGTTCCTGTGGGAGCAGGAAGAGTGGTAAGCCAAAAGCAGGGATGTAGGGAAGACAGCACAGACAGAGTCAAACTCTTCAACATAAAGGCAATTGGTGTTATTTGCGCCATATTTGAAACGGATGGTAACAGCCTGACCAAACCCCCGAGCCTGCCTGTGTCGCGCAGTCGGTGTCACCTACGCTGTGCCCCTCCAACAGCTCCTGCACCAGTCACCTGGGCTGGGGCAGCGGCTGGAAGCAGCACTGCACCCTTCTGCCCACGGGAACCTGGCTGCCCCCAGCCCATGGGGTCCCCGGCCCGAGGGACACGCACCTGACCGGCTGCCAACGCAACCATCTCCCCCCTTGCGCCGTATGGGATGTACGTGCAGTGAACCAAACAAATGAAGAGATTACCTGGGGGTAATGAAGTAGGCATACTCATTACAATTTTATAACTTAATTTTATATACTAAAGCACAAACTGTAATTGCAGTAGTTAATTTGCTTTAACTTCATAATGACATTTACTGGCGCTCCGCTAACCAGAATGCTTCATGTATCATTGGTCATATGTTCACTTGCTGGGTATACCTTGGTAATAAAAAATAACTGGTGAGCACTACCAATTTATAAAAATGTTATTCAGGTTTTGTATGTTCACCAAATGGTCAGCATTTTCTCCAGAATTCAGTCTCTGAATAATCAGGAGCATCTCCTATTTTTCCAGACTGCCTAAGAAACTTAAGTTGCTGACAGTGAAGTATTCAGCACATGATGAACTGCTCATGCCACCCAGATCTTACCAGTGAAGTGTATGTATGTACCTTGTCCTTCCACAAAAAAGAACATTTACTTTAACCTATTGCTTTTAAAAATACTTTTACCAGTTAACTAAATGTGGTTACTGACGTGGAAATGAAGTCTGCACATTCACTGGATGGGAACATTTCCTGGGATAAGCCCATCTGAATGCCAAAGAAATGTCCGATACCAAACTATTATTTCATATAATGAAATATGATTATAAATAAAACAATGTTTTTCTTCCTATATGATACTTGTATAACAGATATAGAAAACACAAATTTTCCTCACCAAACATTGTAAAATTTGGCAGATAGATACCATATCAGCATCTTCTACTATACAGAAAACAACAGGTGCTTCATTTACTTACACAACAGCTTTGGCTTGAGGGTGTTCTGTGCAGAAAAGCAATAATGAACTTCAGGGAAGTAATTTGCAGAAGCAAAATAATTTTTAAGACTTATTTTGCATCATTCAACACTTAAGTTCAGCTTCCTCGTTTGGTTTTCATAATAAAAATGTTGCTGCTTCATTCTTTAATACATTCTTTAAGTAAGGAAGGCGTGTTCCTGTGACTTGAATCAAAATCAGATTTTGGCTTAAGAAGGGGAAGAAAGGAAGAGTCTCTCCCCATGATCTGCCTTTACTGTAAGCTCTTTAACAAAATCTGTACTGTGTTGGGTTGCTAGCAGACCTACTCCTATAGAGGAAGAGCCACTTAAGAAAATACTCTGCACAGCCCCAAATGGGTGTTTTAGTTGGTCAAGAGCACTGTGAGTCCAAAGTGTGCCATCTTCAAAAGCTGTGCCTAGATGGAGCAGTGTTCTGCTCGTCTACTTTCTTAGGCAGACAGAATGCCATGGATATCAACTCTCCTGTTGACAATCACTTAACATCTCCATATCGAGAATGAAATAGTATCAGGAATATATTTAATACCATTCAGCAGCTAGAATGTGAGGAGAGTCAACCTTGATGTTGTCATTCAGCACACTAGAGATTTAAGTGCAGAGCAGACTAAACATATTAAGAAAAAGTAGTCCTCATTCTGTTCATTACTTGACTACATTCATTACGCAGCTCCTGGAGGTATACCTTTCCCACCAACACGGTTTGCTGTCTGGATGCAATCTAGCAGACAGTATCACCTCTGAAATTCATGCTGTCCTTGCTGCTCTGCAGTATTCCAGCAGTAAGTTCTGCTGGAACTGAACCGTTACTCTTCCAGCATCCAAGAAACTCCAGACACTGTAAAATGCAGCGATCTTCCTCCCTGTAGCAAACGGGCCCTCTGTAACCATAAACCAATTTCCCCTTGGCTTCATTTTCAGTGTTCCACGCACACAATATGGCATTCCATATCAAAAAAGACAGCCAAAGCTTCAGAAGAAAAATTATGGTCAGTGACCAAATACTTCTTTGGTCATAAGGAACAGGCTAAACTATAGGCAAAGCATGTTGTGCAGAAAAACCTCTTTCTGGAAGGTAGCTGAAGACTGCGAGATAAACTCCCACAGGACATAAAAAATGACCAATAAAAATCTCACCACCTCCTCATTCCTCCAAGATGCATCTTTTAATAATATTTTTCTTCTCTCTAAGAGGACTACAGTATGCATGCACATGTATTTGGTACCTGCACTGCTTCCTCTGAAGAGTTGTGTTTTTCTAATGTCATTTGGCTCTGGAATAAGTTTGATTTTGCTTACCACCATCACAGTAACTTCAGTGGGTATATTCACCTAAAAAGGTAAGGGAACTGCAGGCCTGCATAGACATGCATTCAGCAAAACCTCTCCATTCATTTTTTATGGTATATACACTCCATGTTCTAGAAAAGGCTTTCAGAAGAACCCCACAATCTATTACAGAAGTAATAAACAACTCAAGCCACTGGCTTTTTTACATCCCCCAAAGAAAGAATGAATTCTACACGAACAATTCCCTTTTTCTGAACTAAGGCTGGCATCCCCTCATTCATCAAGCTGTGTAAGGATGGATTACCTGTTTCACCAGTTATTTACTGACAGCGTGCCATTCATGGGAGCTCTGTGACCATAATCATTCACTGCTCTTACGGCACGGAATTCAAGTGCTGCAACTTTCAGAGTGAGATACTTCATTTCAGTAAACAATGTACTGTTTCCATGAGATGTAAATAATCATTAAAAATGTATCAATTCTTTAATGATAGTATTAAAACAAATGTAATTAACAAATACCAGATCATACAACACAGAGTACAGGTGGTATTACAAATATAATATCTATTCTTAGCTGTTTCAAATACAGTAATTTTTATAATCTTTCCAAATAAATTTTGCTAACACTCATCAAAACCATTCTGTATAGAAGGGTTGACTGAGATGCACAGATGCTTCCATGTTAGAATTTTTTTTCAAGGAGGAGAGACATTCCTGATGGCACCACTTCTTCTTTTGTTGTTATTACTTCCTTCGAAAATCTTTAGGTCTGGGGGAAAAAAAAAAAAAAAGGCACTTTAAGAAATGTATGGGACCTACAGTGGCTTTGCTTTAAGGATGCAGTAACAGCCATATCTACTTTTATTTCCTTATTCTGGTGCTTGAAGGTTTTGTGCTAAAGAAGAGTATTTTCTGGATTACTTAAAAAAGACAGAACAAATCAAAGAAGTTTACTAAGACCTCTAAGAATTTACAGACACCAGGACTAGTTGGTCAAGGTGTTTCTTAGGAGCCACTCCTACTTTCCTAAGCAAAACAAAAAGCATCTTTAACTGAATGCAGTCTCACAATGACTTTAAACACTAGTATTAATTTGTCTCCACTTTTAAAAAAAATGAATAGTTCATGCATAAGATGGCAGGTTTTAAGTTAACAGCATAGTCTACCACAAGAGTAATTAAAACCGATGATTTAAAGAAAAACCTACTTTGAGTCTTAAAAGGGTCTGCAATCCTTTCTGCTTGGATAACAAATGCGGAAAGCACTCGGACAACAGACTGCTGTTTGTAATCCTCTGCAACTTCCTATTCAAGCATACGTCACTACCTCTGCCTGCCACACATCCACCGGCTATAGAAACCACGTTCTCCCCGAACCTACAAGGTTCAGACTAGATCATGATTTTTAGAAGAATGCTAAGTCTGAAGGCTAGATGCAAGTCTACATCCCTAACAGGTCCTGGAGAGAAGTCGGGGCTCTGCCCAGTCGCTTCTAAGAAAACAAACGGTGCAGGCCGATGGTCTCTGATGGGCCCGGGATGCACACCCCGCGTGCACAGCATGAAAGGGCTGCTCTTCACAGCACACTGCACCCACACACAAACACGCTGCCTGCGACAATACGACCTGTTATAAATACAGCAGCCCTTTATTCTTGACTCTTCTGATTGCTTCTCTCGTATACCAATCTAAACAGGTAATGTGAACTGTGTCTCACTAGAATTGAACAAGAGGTGTAATAACAAAGGTTTTGTAAACATGTAATTGGATACAGGGTCAGTGGATTTGCTGTGAAGTGGAACAAAAACAGCCTGGAATACAGGAAAAGCTGCAAGCCACAACAGTAAACCAAGTTAGATTTACAACAGTGGTAAATTTTATCATTAATTTCATTCATCAGTGCAATTATTAAAAGCAGATAGCAATGGAAACGGGGAGCTTACTTTGGAGACAGAGAGTTTAGATGGCTGCAGAGATGCCATACAGAAACCTAATATTAGTCATTAAAATTGTATGTTGCAGATCTAGCATTTTTCAACCAATAGCACTGCAAAGTGAAGTCATTCATGCAATTCTTGTACGAGCCTGTAGGTTCTTATGTGAAAGCAACTCTCGAATTCAGGCTATGCTATTTCAAGTGTATCATATAAAATTTGATGATTATATGAATTTTAAAGAACAACTATAAAGACAAGCTAGTGTTCATGCTGTAAGGAATCATAAAGCCTCTTTGTTTTCCATTTAAATGGCGTATTCTGTATTAACGTTTGGACTTGAATCTTTTGTGCATGAAAGAACTGCTGTAAGCACCATATCCATTGTTTACATACTTGCTTAATGGTGGACTTGAACATACGCAACATTTGATGGCAAGTATGTGCTGGAAAGACAAGTCATATTTCCTAGAATCCTGGATTTCAGCACTCAGACATATTCTGCATTTTATAACTCAGATCTCATCTCTGCATACCAGAATATATATATATCATTATATTACAGTTTGTGGTGTATTAAGAGAGTGGGATTTTGAAAAATTCTCAGCAGTGACTTAGAAGTTTTATCACTGCATCCATCCTAGACAGGTGGACCAGTGTCAAAGGATTTTAGAGATGCAGCATGACAAAGACATCATTGTCTTGCAGCTTATAGCTATTACTCTTTTTTTAAAGGCCAATTCATCCTCTTGCACATTGCTCAAAGGATTTTGCATTTTTCTTCGAACAGCACATTTAAAACGTCAATCTAGGGTTATGCTGGAGTGCTGCAGAGCTAGGGGTCTCACAGTACTTTGCTCTGGGGTAAAAATCCAATTTTTTTTTTTTTCTTGCTTTTTATCTGCATTTCAACCTTAATGCTCATTGTCTTAAAAGTTAAATGCATAAAACATTGGACTCCTAGTTTGCAGTCTTACAAAGTTAATGAAGCTTAACGGCAGGATTTTCTACACTGAAACACTTGTGTGAACAAATACAAAAGTTCTTAAAGCCTTTTCTATTGCCACAGTGGGCTTTTATGCCTACTAGTACTTGGCTTTTGGAGGCCACAATCTCTGCTTTTAAAGAGTCCTTGGCACTAGGAAAGCTAAGCCTTGAAAAACACTGCCTTTGCCAAAAGTGTTATAAATATTTTGTCAGACGAAGAATATGAACCCACAAAACCCTTGTCTGCTCAGAGAGAATTATGAACTACTTGTGAACACCAATGGATAACTGCTCATTGATAAATGACATAAATCCATGCAAGAGTGGTGTTCTTTGATGGCAGCGCTTTTGCCCTTCCTCAGCAAAGCACTGAGATTATGCATTTGGAACAAAGGAAATGATATCTCCTCAGAAATTCACCCAAAGGCAAGACTTCACATAGCTGCTGCTTTTTTTTTTTTTTTTTAAAAAGGTAACATTCTTGGGAAAAAAAATTTTGCTGTATATTGACAGCAGGCTCCAAGACAAGGGGAAATAGGAGGCAGAATGTGGGAACTAGCATCTCTGAAATCTATGCTGAAAGGCAAAGTATTATGGGTTCACTGAAAATATGCAACATTAGTCTGTGCAGCAGATGTCTCCCACCAAAACACGTAAAAAAAATTTGTCCCACTAGCATTTTATACTGCATATAAAAAGCATTAAGACACAGTCCAGTGAATTCTATGCAAAATACTCGGCAAATTAAATTAACAACCATTTATGCTATGCCTCTCAGTGCTTCTCTCTCTTAACAAATACTTTACCACCGAGTAAAAGAAACTGAAGAGCTGGTCCTAAACTCTGATTACAGATTTAAAATCTCTTAAGCTCTCCCAACTTTTTCCATACTCACAGCTATCAGAAGAGGAACACAGTTGATGTAAAATTCTGACAATCCACAGTCACTGAACCTTACAAAATAGGTAAACCTGACGTATGTGCAGTTCATAGGATGATTTTTTGCTATGGAAAACAAAAGGTTCTTAGTTGTCCCCACTGTAACTGGTAGTGCTTCCCAAAATTCTGCAGAACTAAGGTATTCCACATAAGCATTATCTTTTGATACGGATGCCAGCCCTACACTCTTGAATGCTGAAGAAATCAAATGGACCAAGAGAGTTTTCCTATTTACAGGGAAACAGTAACTTTTTTGCTCTGTACCCCACTTCAACAAATAAGACTAAGGTCAAGCTAAACCCTAGAACATGGGCTAAGATTTTCTCTAGAGGCACAGCAGGTCTGGTTCAGACTATTTTATAATCCGATTTATCTCACACATATACCTCTTTGCAAACCAATACTCCACAACGCTTTTCTACTCAGATATCTCAAATTTCTAAATAGCCTTGAACTTGCCTTAATTTTGAAAATAATTGCTATTCTTATCTCTTGATCAGTGACAGCTGTTAATGGTAATAATTTCAGCAAGTGTTAATCCAGTCTACAATACAGAGAAACAGTACAACATCAGGAATGAATGTGCATGCAGTTAAAAAAAACATTTCTGAAAATAAGTCCCATTATGTAACAAAATAAGCCAAATGCCTCCTTAAAACATCAAAATCACAGCTACATGCGCCTACAGTTTGTGTCTTCCTAGCCTCCACCATAACTCCCACATGAAAG